TGAACAGTTATCTTTAGAAACTATCAGCCTTTATTCAGACGTTATTCCACAGACCGGAAACATTAATGTTGTACCACAGAAGTAAAGTATGAATATTATCTGGCAAATGGAGAAGTATGAACGGTTTACCACAGAACTGAAGCATGAATGGTTTACCAATTCATTAGCTTACCTATTGATGTTGTAGTGGTAGTTCTAGTGGATATTTCCGGCGTCAGTGATTTTGATGCTGGGTGATTTTAAGAACATTTCATATGTTAATGTAATATTGTTAACATTAGAAGGGATTGCCCAGGCTATAATTACACAAAATGTTACCATTAGAAGTGGTTTTAACGCCAAGAGTGTGCACTTTAATTAGCCCGCTCCACGCTTTCAAAACTTATCCATGTTACCATTTCTCGCCACTACAGTGCGATTGATTGTATGCGATTGAGTTACACACAGGAAGCTCATGAGCGTGAGAATGTTTATCTTCGATTTTCGTCTTCCTCTTTCTTGCTTGTTAATTGCTAATGGCGACATGCAGCTACTCCGAGCTCGTTGGCGGTTCTTGTAGTTCCCACAAGACCAATGGAGAAAGTAAATGCATAGTCATAACTAAGTGCAAAAGAGAAATCCAAGGTTGTCTTACTTGGTATAAATTCCATGATGCTCAGCTGGAAAGTGAGTTCATTCTTCTTCACGCCAAAGCAGGTAAATATCTCATTATCAAAAATGTCAAGAATGTCTAGCCAACGCAAATAATGTATCCCTCTTTGTCTCGCTTTTATATTTTGCACTACGATCAATGAGGTCCTATCATGAAACGGTTCAATGCCCTGGATTTTATCTTTGCTTTAAGATCTATTTCTTGAATCCACGTAAACGCTTGAATCCAAGACAACAGGATGCCAGTCAGCGTTATTATCTGTTGTCATGAAATACAAAGCATTGGTCCATGCCTACAATTTATTTATTCACTCTCTTTCCATTCCTTCCTTCATTAATTAACTAATTTATTTATTTATTTACATATTTATCCACTCGTTCATTTATTTAACAATTGGTCTTGCGGGAACTACAAGAACCTCCAACGAGCTCGGAGTAGCTGCATGTCGCCATTAACAATTTCAAACAATGGCAAGCAAGAAAGAGGAAGGCGAAGATAAACATTGTCATGCTCATGGGCTTCCTGTGTAACGCAATCGCATAGTCCATCAATCCATCGTCCCCTCTACTAACTATGATCGATCGCAGTGCAGTGGCGAGAAATGGTAGCAAGGATAAGTTTTGAAAGCGTGGAGCGGGCTAAAGTGCATACGCTTGGCATTGAAACCACTTGTAAAGGTAACATTTTGTGTAATTATAGCCTGGGCAATTCCTTCTAATGTTAACAAAGTTTTTGTTATTTTTGGGTCGGTATCAGTTGCGAATATGGCCGTTGTAACAACATAAACCATCAATTTGCATATAGTAGACTATCGCAAATTGCCCAGATTGCCTTTGACTTTTTGACTTCAGGAGAAAACTATATGTATATTGAACATGAAGGAGACCTGTTTCGAAGTTTTTGCATGATTTCAGAGGGAATTCGAGTGTTTACATAATGTTTTTCTTAATGTGACTTGCAATTCACATTGGTCACGTAACGCGCTTCTTGAGCTCAAATAAGCTTATATACATCGCTCTAAGAATTCGTAGTTTAAGTAGCCCAAAAAATTTATTGCAGTTTCTAAAATAAGAGACCTTGTTCTTGACAATGGTTATTATCTCAGTTTATGGAGCCATGTAACAATGGCTGCTTTTAGTCGCCAAAGTGGAGCTATGTTTTGATGGGTGACATTTAGCAAAAATTAGAAAATTCGTAAAAAAGTGTTTTTTTTTTTAAGGAATCTGGGGAAAAATACTTCAGAACCTTTGGAAAACATCTCTTGTTTTAGAATTGTTATGTGGTTTCCGAATTGCTGGCGAAATAAAGTTTTCTCGGCCGTTATCTTGAGGTGCACTATTTCACCGGGAAAACACGGTTATGAACCCCAAAACACAAACTGCCACCGTTCTCCCAAAATAATTGTTTTCGCCATTTTTTATATATTTCCGTAACTAAGGCCATTCATACCTATGTTCTGGCAAAGTTTGAAAACATTTCAATTCTCTCACTTTCAACACCTCTGCTTGATTTTTATAGGCAATCACTCATAAAGTTTTCTTCCCCCGTAATAAGCACTTGATGAGAGGGAGGTTTGGGATTTGGTGAGTGGAAGGATTCTCGTTTTTTTGTTTTTAATTTCCACTAAATTTCCTGTCCCAAGATTGTTTGTTTGTTTGTTTTTTTCGAAAAGCCTACACAGCTTATTATGGGATTTACCTGGGAATGTTTTTGTCTGCTTTGGACCCAAGTCCAAGTCCAAGCCCAAGCCCATGACCAAAATCCGTCAGCTAAACTAGATTACGTGACA